TTGTTTGTACTCACATAATATCAAATTAGGATAAAAGAATATCAACCTAGTTACAGAGCAATTCAATAAAATCCGTGAATTCCAAACTGAAATATGACTGAAAGAGCAAAAAATTGAATTACGAAAAAAAACCACTTTTTGAAAGCAATAATACCACTCAGTTTAGCACAAACAGCGTTCAAACTCAAATCACGAATATCCGGTTAGGAAAAAAAATTTTGAGTAATAATGTACGTGGACTGTATTTCCTGTAATATGAAATTGAATGTTGCCATTCTGCGCGATTTTGGTAAATAGAGAGAGCAAAGATATTGAATTGAACCAACCTGTGCTTACCTTGAGAATTTCAGCATTACTCGACTTCATTCATGTCAGATTTCACAAAAACACCAATCTTTTGTCACTTTGCAGCTTGTTCAGCGATCGGGACTTTTTTTTGATGGAGTATCGTATACGGGGGTGCGCAATATAGTCACAAAATGGAGGCAAGTACAGTAATATCGCGGTATGAATATCGAGTAAAGTTCAATTTTGAAGCAATCTATTCAGGCTGATTCTAAAATTCCGCCTGATACAATGAAAATAAATAATTTCGATTTTCATTTCGAAACATTTCCGGAATAATTCGACTGCAGTTGTTAACATATTTTTGATAAAACTGTCCAGAGTCAGTGGTTGTGTTTGATACTGTAACTGCTCAGGTACTTCCGGAAAAGTAATCAAGAGGTGAACAAGAAAGCATTCAATTCTGCAGAAAAATTTTGGTATAAATCAATGAAGGCCAATATCTTCTACGACACTGGATTAGGAGAAGAGACAGAATTGAATGCCCTGTAACCAGATTTGGCACCCCTTGATTATTTTTTGTGGGAATAAATAGAAAGTGCCGTCATCAGTTCTGCGATGTTTTTATACTTCATGCAGTTCATGTTGAGGGCTCGCTGTTTTGTTATCGATTGACTTTAAAAATTTTAATACATGTCAAGATCAATTGTTCGAAAACTAGCTTTGAGCTTACCTTTCAATATACTAAATATATGTCGCTTGGCTCTTTCCGCCTGGAATGAGCAATGTCAAATAATGGTGAGAGTTTTATCCAAAGCTGCGTTTCTCCAACGATTCAGCCATTTTGAACTGAAATATTGAAATTTAGTTCGTTTCATTAAATTTCGTGACAGAGTATTTTAAACAAATAGTTACAATTTTTTTATCAACACCTAACCTCTGGTTTCCAATTTTGGAGCTAACGAAATTCGATACTATCTTTAAACCCCTATTTTTCCCTCTTGGGGGTGGAAATTCCTAATTTCCTTTCTTGATTCTTATTTACGCTATACAAAGAACCTGCCTGCATATTTCAAAATTCTAGGTTCCGTAGTTTCTGCTGTACGTTGAAATAAGAGTGTCAGTCAATCAATAGGTAGCCACTTAAACAATATTGAATAGCATCAGCAAAAAAAACTAAAAGAATCAGAATGAAATACATTGGTGATCCTACTAATAATATAAATGCGTAAAGTTTGTGAGGATGGATGAATGTTATGTATGTATTTACGTTTTTTACTCTTTCACGCCTAAACATATCAACGGATTGAAATATAAGTTGGTATATATATATATAGATCATGACCTGGAATAACACCTAGGGTAGGATCCCACGGTAAAGCTGGTAATAAGTTGGAAATAGCTAGTATTGTATAAGTGGCTACCTATTGAGTGACTGGCACACTTATATTAACGTACAGCCAAAGCTACTGAACCTGGAATATTTAAATACGCAGGTAGGTTCTTTGTATAGTGCAAATAAGCATCAAGAAAGGAAATATAGGGATTTAAAGATTGTATTGAATTCCGTCAGTTTGTTGCCGTTTGCAACAAATAGTAATTTATGAATTCGAAAATAGCTGGGAAACTTTTGCTAATTATATTCATGGTTAGGCGATGATGCGGTTTCAGTGCAATAAATTGTTATTCAATGTTTTGGAATTTCCACACAAGCTGTTCAATAATAACGATTCATCATGATATCAAACGGTCATTAATATTTTTCGCCGAATGAGACCAAATTTGTATTTAAATTTTTCTTTCGAAAAATTCTGAGAATATTTTACATATAATTTCCCACAATTGAAAAAACGTTTCTAGAGATATTTAATTATTTTTAAAAAAGGTTCAATGAAATGGAAATCTCGTTAGTTTTCAAAAAAATTGATGTAAACTTTCAATATTTCTCAAAGTTAAAATTCAAACATTCAATATAGTTACTATTGTGCTGAAAAATGGAACAACTGAAAATTTAGAACTTTACCATGCCGAAAGTGGTAGATTTGGCGTCCAATGTATTAATGAAAATGGCTTTCACTGACAAACCATGTTTCCTGAAATATCATTTCAAGAATTCATTCAAACTTCTTGTGTTAGGAGGATACAATACTTTTTGATGTCTGTCACTCAGTCTGTGAAATGATATCTAATGTTCTTTGAACTATTATATTCACAACATTACCTTGAATATAACAGTGGAAAAAAAAGGTAACTATTATCAATTATTATGATTATTATTATATTACCTTTCAATCCATAAGAGATATTGTCAATCCATAAATGTCGAAATATTTCCAGAAAGGATTAGGTTTTTCGGGAGCCCGGTAATGACTGCAATAATATTCTGTTTTACTCATCCAGTATCTACATGATATCTTTGATGAAAGTACTTTGGGATAATGATCTCCATTTATGTTTTTTCGTTTTGGAATTATTCGTATTTTTTAAAGCGTATTTGCATTTTATCGTTGACCCTTGATATTCTAGTAACTCACAAGATAACTTGTCAATCCCTGAAGAAGAACGTTGACTTTTGAAAAACCTTGTACAACGTCTGTAAAGATTTTCACTTCATATCTATTTATTGCCATTATAAAATGGAATTTGGATTACATTTATCATTATTACCACGTAACACTGGTGATAGCGCTAGAATAAATAGTAGTAATGGTACTGAAATTGCGACGATCCAAGATATAAAGATTTGATGGCAATGAATAAAAAACGAGAGAGAAAAAGAATAAAGAAAAGCGGAATAAGAAGCAAAATGAAGAAAATAAATACAAAGGAAAAAACAGAAAAGAAGAGAGAACAGAAAAGGGACGACAGAGAAAGAAAACAAAGAACAAAAACAGAAAAAGGGACTATGTTGGAAATTTAAGGAATACAAAGAAAGAAGAATAAGCAAGTAGAACAGATGAAAAGGAAGGAGAAATGGTTTTTAAACACTTTTCTCAGCAAGAGGCGCAGAGAAATCACTACCACAATCGATAAGAGAAACGGTCGATTCGAAAATTGAGTACCTTTCAGAAAGAAATAACCAAAAAATTCAAACAATGTGGAAGATGTTATCAAAGAATTCTGAGACAAAGTGCAGACTTTCAGCGGTCGGGTAAAAGACTAGATGTCAGGTTAGATAAGGTTTGATTAGGTCGACACCTTACAATGAGATGAAAGAAGTCCCAACCAATGAAATGCATCGATGTAGATGATTTATCGACGCTGTTTTCCTACTCTTCATGAACATCTGCTTGCCGTCAATGGTTTCTGATTAAACCTGGTCAGTTCGTATTATGTTTATAATTGGTACAATTCGCAGTACTGTTTACTTCCATCTGTGCGCGTTTCCTGATTATATGATTTAATTTTTTACTTCGAAGACATATTTTCATATATCTTTCAAGTATGTTCTCGAAGGAAAACAAATTGTTCAATTAGTGAGTTCAAAAGGTCATATCTTCTTAGTAGCACTGTTTTGTAGGTAATCTAAATTTATTCAGAAAACCAGACAAAACATTAAATTTTGAGAAGTTAGCCGACGAAAAAATTTTCTTTTATATCTGTTGTTTCATCATCAATAAAATAATAAAGTGGATATTTCATTATAAATCAAACCGACAATTTTATATGATCTCAGTTGAAGTAAAATGGCATTCCATAACTGTTTGAAACTTTTACGAATCAGATATAAAATTTTATGGTAAGTTTATTGCTTTGTCTCATTTATTGCCAAACTGGGTGAATTGTATTTTGATATCCATATGAAATACTTGACAAAAAATTATGCCTAAAAACCATTTATCATTCAATTTCATGATGATTGATTTGTAATTGATTTTCCAAATACTCAGATTCAAAATGCACGTCACAAATCAATTTCAGGACTATGTTAACATAATATGTACGGAGTAGACTTTCGAGAAATTATTATCAGTCTGTGTATTCTTTCGGTTGTTAATGAGGCTATTGACATTCAAAAATCAATACGATTAAAATGAATGTATATACATTGTGCATATTCTTTCTTAGATGCATATTTCGGACCCTTCAGATGAGATCTGTTTTTTCGGATCAACTGTAATTATTTGACACAACTTACTAAATCACACTTGAGCATGCTGACTTCCATTCCATAATAGTTGGTATATATATATATAGATCATGACCTGGAATAACACCTAGGGTAGGATCCCACGGTAAAGCTGGTAAAAGAAGGGAAAATAGTTAATGTTGTATAAGTGGCTACCTATTGAGTGACTGGCACACTTATATTAACGTACAGCCAAAGCTACTGAACCTGGAATATTTAAATACGCAGGTAGGTTATTTTTCGGATCAACTGTAATTATTTGACACAACTTACTAAATCACACTTGAGCATGCTGACTTCCATTCCATAATTAGGCCTCCACATGTTTACATTCATCCTAGTTAACTGTAGTATTGAAAGAATACATCAAAATCAAAAATATATGAAATGTTATAAACTGTCTGAAATACATATGTGTATTCATACATTCACGAGCAGACTGAAAGAAAAATAATAATTGTATAGAACTGGCCGATACTTGATGAAAATCCATACTGAAACCGATTATTACAGTTTATTGTATGACTTTCACTATAAAGGGTTTTACAAAACCGCGACACGTGTTTCGCTATACGGTAGCTTCCTCAAGCGTAAACAAAAGTTAAAATGGTTTAGACTTTCGTGGCTGAGGTTTTCAGTGTCACTGTTTTTCGAGTTTGAAAGCCGTGGATTCTTGGAATTTCTTCCTGACGTTTTGCTGGCGCGAGTGGCTAGCTTCTTCAGAGATTTAACCATGGCGTGCTGTCCGATGACAATATATTATGACAACTACATTACAACTATTTCATACTCTAATATATTACCTACTTGTATGCCTACTTTTTAATGAATGAACCTACCTGAATGGAGGGGATTGGATCCATGTTTGAACTGTGATTGAATGAGTGGCATATGTGGAATTTATTTTTCCGTTCTGGAAACTATTTTTGTGTTTCTTTATGCGGGCTTTGAACGTAATTCCAGTTGGACCTATATAAAACTTCCGACATGACCCACATGATAATTTATACACTCCCGATTTTTCTGAAACTGAACTTTTATTTCTGTTATTCTTAGTGGGCATGCCTAAAAAAGTTGTAAAAGTAGAAAATATTTCGAAAATTCACATCAAATGATACAAAATTGTGATATTTATGTTAAATTTCACTTCCGAGTTTTCTATGTGGTAAAATATTGAAAATATCATTTGATCAATAAATAAATTTGTACTCTTACAAAATTGGAATATATTATTTCTGGTCACTAATTCTGGTCACGCCCGAGGAAGAAAAGGGAATGAGCCTTTTTCCTGAGAATAGTACAGCAAACGTGTCACGAGAGGCAGCACTAGTAGTATATAGGGACAAACATAAACTGTTCACATGTAAAACAGTGTTATTTACGTAATATTAATTTATTATTCAAAAATACAAAACCTGATATAAAAAAAGTATTTTGTGCTAGTATGATGCCAACAAAGCTTTGCTGTTTTGCGAATTGTACGTCGGATAATCGATATCCGGAAGAAAACATGTTTTTTATACCATTTACGAAACATGCTTCGAGAAGAGTAGATTTAACAGTGCAAAAAATAAATGAATATTCATATGTATGCTCTAAACATGAATTGAATAGTAAACTTTTCATAGTTAATTACCATTAATCAGAATGAGATATAACCTCAATCGTTTATTAAACTATATTCATTTATTATATTCAATTAAATTTATTTCATTACCATCTATATTTGATTCATATTTCACTCGGAAACAAATTTGAAATTCATAATTATTTTGAATTTCTTTTATTACAGTATTACAGAATCTCCCGTTACTCTTTTACTAGAGTCTGTATACTAACCTGTCTATTGATTAACTTTTTTTCCAGTTACTTTTAAATTACGGCATGCAAGACAACGTTTTAATGTTACAACATTGTTATCCTTTACAGTTACAAATTTTAGTTTTGCTCCAGGAACATCTTCTTGTGTTAAAAACATTCTTTTTTAATTGTACTTTACCATATGTTTATATGAGGATAAGGCAGTGTTTGTCCCTACCGAACTACTAGCGCTGCTAGTGGGTGATTTTTCGTACTTCAGGAAAAAGGTTCATTGAAATCAAATATGTTTTTTACCACTTTCATTTGTAACTAATATTACTGCAGTTTCGTCCTATAAAGACATTTTCAAACTTATACATTAAACTCACGTAAAAGTTTGAAAAGTCCTTAAAGGACGAAATTTCAATAACGTAGTAAAAAACACAGAAAGTTTAAATTTGTTTTTTCATTATTTATGAAATGACCTTTCAATCACTCTGGAAGACCCGGCCAGACGGCGCTGTTTCGCTATGTTCATCGAATCCGAATCTCTTTCATTCATTGATAGGCAACTATATAGTTGATATAGTTGAAACCAGTTCTCAAAAACACTGTATTCCAGACGAATGCATTGCTGAACCCAATCGTTCTTAGAGTACAAACTCAGGTAAAAAGATGTGATGATATCTCTCTTAACAAAGACACCATCTATAGGAACGACAGAAGACCCAATCCCCAAATGCCAAAGATGAATAAGGCTCACTAAGGTTGTCACTGTCATAGCTAAGCTCCGCTAGGGAGCAACATTCATCTCTGATATTTGTATATTGAGACCTCTGTCGTTGCCTCCGTAAGGGAAAATGTCATCACCTTCACTTACTGATACTTATTCTTAAAGGGCAGTTGGGTTCAGCAAAAAATGCATGGTTCAGCTTAGCAGCTTTGATGCGATCTATGGCGGGTTGAAACGGCTCTGTCTTGGGTTAGATCATGGAAGCTTTGTTAAAGAGTTCTATTTTCAAATAAAGAAGTTACCTTGCAGCGAAAGACAGCCGAACCTTGGCTTTGCAAAGGATTTACTCGGAGAGCCTTCTTAACTTTGATAGTCATGGATGAGTCGTCTTTCGTTTCCACATATGACGTCTAATTTCTCAATTTACAATTCGATTATTAGTTTTATTGAAGATCTACATTAATTTCAGTTATAAAAAATTCAGCGACATCAGCTACATACATAATGTTGGAAAAGAACCCTTGAGACCGTTAACCCTTGGAAAGCTAATGGAAGAAATCGCTCATGATCATGGAGAAACAACTGCTGTTATTTCATGTCACCAAAAGAAAAAAATTAATTTCGGTGAAGCACTCTATCAGGCCGATCGATTAGCAGCGGGCATGCTAAAAATGGGATTTCGTCAAGGTGACATGATAGGGTTATGGGCACCAAATATCATAGAGTGGTATATTGCATTCTTAGCTTGTGCCAGGGCTGGTTTCATATCGGTAAGGAAATATTTGATCAAAATGCTACAAACCATACATAACCAAGCAACCCGAACCTGCTTCATACGAGTGGCAGAACATAATATGAGTATATCTGAATTTTTTCCATCACATATATTTAGTGGGCATACTTGGCTTTAAATCAAATTAACTGAAAGAACAATTTGTTCAGGCCAGTTTCGACTCACCTACACTGTAGGTGACATCTATCAGACACCTATCAGAAAGTGCTGCCAATACCCCGAAGGGCGATGGATCATCCTGCACTGACAGGTGTCAGAAGTATTTCCTGCATATGCTGTTGGCGATAGAACTGCTGGAATCCATTTTCAATTATAGGAACAGGCACACTTGCAGTTGTATCGCCAACAGCCAACGCCCTTCGTGGTATTAACCAGGGAAATAGTTGTTTTCTGATAGGTGTCAGTCCATTGACCTACAGTGTAGGTGAGTAGAGACGGTTATAGTTTCAGCTTGTAACTTGTAATGACCTTCAATAAATTCACTCAAAGAGTATGTTTACTACTATCAACCTCAGTTTTGAATAGATAATTACATAGCTACCTAAAAAATATACAAAACAAAAATGAGACCTACGTAAAACGACCGCTTGAATTTATTTACTCGCGTGATACGTTTTATTCCTCATACTACTCACCGATTCTTCACTTCCTTAGTCAACGAATGTTTTTATGTTTCATTTCAAGATTGGGAAATGCAGCATAGGAAATTTCTACCACAAAATTATGAAATTCCTTGAATGATGATAAAAATATTTAAAGAATCACTTTCCAGTTCTTAAATTCCACTTGACGCGATCATTTGAAATTACTATAGGGTCACCATATGAGAGAAACAATTATTAATTAGTCTTCTTATCTTTTCATAGGTAGGCTTGAATCCCTTGTACCAACAAAAAGAAATTGAATACTGCATCAATAAAGTTGGTATCAAAGGTATCGTTTGCGGATCGGTATTCAAGAAACAGGACTTTTATAAAATACTAAAATCTGTTTGTCCAGAATTATCTGAGAGCGTACCTGGAAATCTTCAAAGCAACAACCTGCCTTCTTTGAGAACTGTCATCATGATATCACCGGATAAAATGAGGTGAACGAATGACAATTATATTATGTTGGAGAAATCATATTGGTTCGTTTTTTTCAGAGGGACTCAGCGATTCACTGATGTTTTGAATATGGCAGATGATGAAGGTATAGGAATTGTACAAAAGAACCAGAAAAATATTAAAACAGATGATCCTCTCAATATTCAGTTCACTTCAGTAAGTAGTCATTGTCTATTGAAAGTTGAAAGAAGATTTTTCCATTTGGGAATCGAGTTTGAGATAATTTATCTGTATTATGTTATAAAGAAATCTGAAAATTTGGTTTTCAACATATTGAAAAGTCATCGTGAAAATATTTGTGGAAATTGCAAATGAACTCATTAGATATTGAATAGAACTGTCCGATACTTGATGATCAACATTTAAACTCATTTTTACAGTTTGTTGTATGATTTTTACTTTTAAGGTTTTACGAAAACCCCGACACGTTTCGCTATACAATAGCTTTCTCAAGCGTAAAGTAATGAGTTACTTCTAAATTACAACTATTTTGTATCAACTCATAACCTACATATAACCTACGTGTGTGCCTACTCTTAAACGAATGAATCTACCTGAAGAGATCAGGTATAAATTCATCAAATATATGAATAGATTAAATTTCCCGTACCGTAATTATACTTAACTTTTCTTACCTGGAAATAAACAGATTCAATAATGTCGAATTATTCAGTTCAGTTTGATGGTTCATAAGATATTGAGAGATTTTAAATTTGTTTATTTCCATATTCTGCAACAGGTTGAGTTTGAAACCTTCCTAGTGGAAATGGAGGGGCTTGAACTCATGTCCCTCTGTGATCAAATTAGTGGCATATGTGGAATTTATTTTTCCATTCTGGAAACTATTTCTGTGTTCCTTTATACGGACTTTGGATGTTTTACCAGCTGACCTATAAAAACATCGGACATGACCTACATGATAATTTATACACTCCCAATATTTCTGAAACTGAACTTTTATTTTTTTTATTCTTAAGTTGCCCTAGTTGTTGTTGGTTTTGAAAGCAATACACCTTTGTTGTGCAGAAAATTCGAAATATTCGTAGTGGGTTGGCCTAAGTAGGTTAAGGTTCTATAATTTTTATTCTCATCTCTTCGAATTGGGAAAACTTCTTTTAAAGCTTGGCTGTATAACTTTTTTTGATAATAGAGAATGTATTTAACTGCTATCGCAATTTGTTGAGGGCTATTTGTTTTATTCTGCTCAGTTCTTTATCGGTTCCGGACTTCCTAAAAACCACTATAGTAATTCCAATCTATAAAGGTGGTGATATTAATGACCCTTGCAATTATAGGCCAATATCGCTTATACCAATTCTTGGTAAAATCATTGAGAAACTAGTAAAGGTAAGAATAATGGAGTTCGTGGAAAGAAATAATTCACAATCGACAAGGAAACATTTATCAGTATGTGGATCATACTGTTGAATGCTGATATTGGTGAGTGGAAATCTGAATCAGAAATATGCATAAAGGGAGGCTCAATCCGGAATTGAAACTAGTTAAATCCATAAAAGAGAAATCTAAGTATTCTTCTTTGAACAAAGAAGAATACTTAGAGAAGACTTTAGACTTTCTTAATGTTAGCATTAACGATAGTCTCAGAAACGACCTCACCCATTTATATCAGAAAGGAGTCAAAACAAAGCCAAGTCACCCAAATCACGCGACAAGAACGCACGCGAAAAGTCAGCTCTATAAATGACATGGCAGCATAAATGACATAGTTATACATAGTAATCTATTTTGAAATCTTCACTTCACTACAATAAAGTGAATCTCCAAATTTATCAAATTTGTATAACTGCGCGATACTGACTTTAAACCCGTTATTTGATTTTCGTTATTACTCTCGATGATTTTTGATATTTTCAGGGTACCACCGGTTTCTCCAAGGCAGCTGTTGTGAGTCATTTCAGCGTAGTCAATAATAGTTTTTATATTGGAAGGAGAAATGAATTTCATAAGAAACGTTATACAATTTGTGTTCCAAATCCACTATTTCACGCTTATGGAACAGTTGTTTCAATAGTGAGTGGACTGATGTATACAGGTACCTTGGTTCTTCCGTCAGATGGTTATGATCCAGAAAAAACGTTGAGTGCTCTCACAGAGGAAAAGTAAGAAAGAAATTCATTAGATATTCACAAGTGCAGTAGCTATCGATACTACACTTTTTTCAATGATCTTATTTGCATTGGTGTTATTTTCCATTCTACTCCAAACTCACAATATTTCATCAAGTACTAATATTTGAATAGTAATTATTTACATTTAAATACGTGGTATATACGTTAAAGTTGTTATTATATGTCGTGGTCTGAATACTACAACTAGGTCACTATAAATTTCGTAAAAAAACTGCAAAGAAAAATTCCATTAGATCAGGTGCACAACATATTACAACTAGGTAACTGTTGCAGATAGTTTACAGATGCTACTTAGAATTTTCAAAATTAGATAAGGTAATCATCAGAAGAAAATCCATTCTACAACCACGCAAGTTCACATATCCCGTTATTCAACATATTTATTTGTTTGTTTTCATCCAATTTGCTATTTTTTTCAAATAAAACAATTTGTGCAGTGCATCAATACAATAATAGATAGCAAATTAACAATTTATTTACAAGCCTAATTTCCTAAATTGAATAATAAACAAACAAAAGCATCATTATCTTGTGAAATGTTATATTTGTATCTCAATTAGCATCAAAAATAGTTTTAGAAATGGTAGTAAAATGGCATTCAATCAAGCCTTCATAATTTACCAAAATCGTGAAAAAACAACTTATTTTACCTAGTTACCTAGTCGTAGTATTCACCACACTATGTTTTTGAAAATAAATCAGAGAAGAAATGCACTATGGCTTACTGATACTATGAAAATGATCATGTGAACACGTGATAACGTTGGTGTTGTTAATTATCCCCTGAAAAAAAAAATGCCGGCCACCGCTTCTACGATCGACTGTGAGTTGGCCAAGGTCCCGTTCAACTCTATTTGTGCTTCTTGATCTTTCTAGATGTAATGCTCATATCGGCTTCCGAATACTTCCATTGAGATATTATAAGCACTAGCAACCGAAAACTACACTCACTGGATTAGTGTTCATAGTTTCATGGATGGAGTTCGTCACACGGAGTTGCAGCAGTCGCTGAGGAAGGCGAGTCATGAAAAACTTAATGATGCCATAATTTATGCCCTAGAATTCGAGGCTGCCAAAAATGCTTGGCGTCTTCAACGAAAAGTTCTAGTGATGGTCATCAACGAAAAGGAAGGAACTGAAACTGCATCTAGTGCAAGAGGGTGACCTAAATGCTATAACTGCTGCAAAGAGAGACATTGAAGGGGGAACTATCGATCCACTGGTGTTCAGGATCAGCCGAAGAGAACGTCGGGGTTCGGAAAACTGAATTCAGCCGGTGTTAGCGGGGATACATTGGCTGCTGCTACTCAATCCCTCAGATATTCCATTTCCAATATACGTCGATGGATGCCTCTTCACCGTCGATACAGGATCAACGAGGTCGATAATGATAGTCGACATTTCCAAGACAAACAGTTTGAAGAAGTTATCAGTAGTACCCGTTTTGGAAAGAGTAACTGGAGCTAAACTGTCGCTTAATGAGCTATACTGTCGCTTAACGGTGAAGCTGAAATGGGACTCAGGCTTGGAAATTGTGGAACAGAAACAACATCGTCAAAGAATTCGTTTTGAGACAAGACATCATGTCCCTTTACGGATTTTTTTTATATGGCCGTAAAATCTGGATCTGGTCAGAACAATCAGCACGTAGGTGGCTCCCCAACTCTAAAATACCAGAAGGACAAATAGCCAGGTGGCTCAAAAAGTTACATACTTACGATTTTTGAATTCAGTGATGATCATTAATGTAATTAATAATTTTGTACTGGGTGACAAAAGAGTGATTTCATTTCAGTGGGAGAATAAATTCATATCCAACAAAATACAACAATTGAAGGAGGTGTTCAAACTGCCATCCACCAATCTCTTGATAATAAGCAACTCTACGGATACATTACTCTTGCACAATGCGAACTTCTCAAGTAATTCAGAAATAGGTTTCTCAACTTTTCAAAATTTCACGGTCTACCTGAATAGAGTTTTCATCTCAGATAATTAATTCCACAGGAAACACTCTAGTGGATTAAGATCTGGAGATCTTAGGGGCCACTCTATCGTTCCGCGCCAACCTCCTATGGAAATACTTGTTTAAAAACTCTTGAAGTTGACCTGCATAGTGCAGAATGCACCGTCACGTTGCAATTATATGCTTTCATTTGATTAGTTTGGATTGCTGGCGTTTGGAAAAACATTGGCAAGGAATGGTACAAAAATTTCAAGTGACGTTTCCCTGTGAGGTTTCCTCAAAAAATAAGGGCTGTTTTTTTAATATGTGTTTTGTATGACCTTCAATCATCCAATGAGTATTATCCCTGCTCCAATATATGCAGTTCAGTCGATTCACTGAACCATTCAGACAAAAATTTGCTTCATCAGAAAACATAATTTTTTCAATGAAACGTGAATTACGGTTACATTAATCCGGCATCATTTGGCAGAAGTCCATACCCTAATCGGAATAGTTTTCATTCAGTTCTCAATGTAGTTGTACTTTGTACGGATGATACTTTTCTACTTTCAGAATAAGTAATACAGAACGCTGATATATGCCATTTTCTGATGCAATTTGTCGTGAAGTACTGTGAGGTTTTTCCTCTGCACTTATCAAATTTAATCAAATTAATCATCAAATTTAACGTCCAACATTCGAAATATCTCTTTGAAATCTTTTTTACCGTTCACCAGCTGTCGCCCATCTGCGAACGACAACTCTCAGCAGAAGAAACTTGTCCGAGCTAGTAGCTCGGACAAGTAGAGTAGTAGCTCGTGTCGAGATGTTGAAAATAACGGTTTGGTTTAAAATTTGGGATAAATCTCCAGTAATATTAAATACAAAGATATCAAATTCATGATCATCACTGTGTGCAATGTTAAAGACTTTCGAGAAGAAGTGTCACGAAACATCGACTGTGGAGGTACATCTTTACCGGCAGCAGGAGGTTGCATATCTTAATGAGGATCTAGAAGTGATTTTAAATTGGGGTGGAAGTAACCAGGTTCAATTCAATGCTACAAAAACCCAGGCATCGGTTTTCTCCAATAAGATGAATGTATCCGACCCGGATATAATGATGTCAGATCAGACAATCCCGCTTTCTGCTTCGAAAAGTTTCTTAGGGGTTGAAATGGACACCAATGTGTCTTGGCACAATCATTTTACTGGAATTGCAAAGGCTGCTTCTCAAAAGCTTGAAACACTGTTTTGAATCAGAAAACTATACACACCTCAGCAACTTTTAATGCTTTATAAAGCTCAGATCAGACCTTCTTTGGAGTATTGTTCTCATGTATGGAGCTCTGCCCCCAAACATACCCTGAAGTTGTTGGATTCCATCCAGAAAAGAGCTATCCACCTGATTGGAGACTAGAACATCACGTGCAACCTTGATAGCCTGAAACATCGAAGAAGGTTTGGAGATTTGTCTCTCTTCTATAAATACTTTCATGGGGTGTTCAAGTGACTTGGCACATTTGATTCTACCAAGAGGGGTACATATCAGAAATACGACTGACTGTGGCTGCTCATCGTTTTGAGGTTCAACTCAATACACCTCGAACTTTACTGTTTGGGAACTCTTTCATCTGGAGAACTGCGTTTATGCATTATCAATAGCTACTTTCGCACAGGCTCCACTCTGGGAGCGCTTTAAGTATTTTCCTGTAGTGCTTGTGTTTTGTCCTTGGAAAAAAAACGTATCCAATAGTTAGAAACACAATGTCGGCAATACAATACAATACAGCTAAACAGGGACAATATAGCTGAACATACAACAAATAATACATTTTTCACACAAAGTTATTAGCGTTTTCGTCTCCAAGCATTCCATATGAATATTTGACAGTTGTGTCCGTACACATACTCTATTAAATTATTATTTTCCAGATGTACTATAGTCTACGGGACACCAACAATGTTTGTGGATTTGATTGAGTTACAAAAAGCCAGAAAAGAAAAACTCCATATCGAAATAGCTCTTTGTGGAGGAGCATCATGTTCACCTCAATTGTTCAAATATATGTTGGATGTTTTGAAAGTTAGAAAGGTCAAGGTGAGTATATTCAAAACATTTCTTGTTACAGATAATTCAAACTAGAATTCAGACTTTTTCACTCAATGCGATAACGATATGTATTGATTTAAGAGACTGCGTAATGTTCCTGGAAAATTTATTAATCACGCGAGTGAATTATAAGAGAAACAATTTGGAAACTTTGCCGTCGTTCAAATATTCTCTAGGCAAAGAGAAATCACAGAAACATCGGGAAAATGCCAATTTTTTTCAACACTCTATTATGAGATTTTCACTAAACACTTCTACATTAACACAATACGTGTTTCGCCATACAATAGCTTCTTCAGACATGTCTGCCTATACGTGTATAGAGTGGTTCTTGAATACGTTATGGATTTCATCAAATATGGTTGTCAACGACAACCATAAAAAATCATTTTTTGAAGCTTAGACATCAAACAACATTTTTTTATGTCTAACTTTTTATTCTTTTTTTGAAGTCTTGCTCTGCATAATCATCCGACCATAAAAATACTCTAATAAATTAACTTCAAAACGAAGTTATAGTAAGTATACTTTTGTGAAAAATATATTCAAAGGCAAATACTTATAAAATGAACAAAATTCTCAATTTTATTACAGTTTCAACTAGTAACAAATATCGTCATTGATGTATCAAATACTTGATGTGATATTTATCTCTCTTGAATTGTTATAGAATTTCACCTTCTTGAAGGAGATCACACAGTTTCTTCTTCCTCTTGAAGATGGTCACTTGTTGTTCGAAACATGTCGAGGTGTTGAAATAACAGTTTGGTGTTGGGAAAAAACTCCCGTAATATTCATTAGATACTCATTAGATATTCTCGTTTATTGATTTTCAGGGATTCGAGCAAGTTCAATTTTGTCCTTTATTTTCTCTATGTGATATGTTCATGTTCACGTTGAAACCAAGGTTGGCATGCATAATCACTCATTATATTATTTCAGTTCAATACTAAAAAACGAACTTTAATTTTAGTCAATCTATGGATTATCTGAAGCTACCGCTGGTGCCTTTCAGTCATTGGAAGACGATGATGAATATAAATCTATCTCCACTGTTGGATATCTACATGATCACCTGGAAGCTAAAGTTATTGATGCGAATGGCAATATTGTACCAATCGGTGTTTCCGGTGAATTGTGTCTCAGGGGCTATTCAATGTTTCTGGAATATTATAACGATGAAGAAAAAACGAAGGAAGCCAAAAGTCTTGATGGGTGGCTTCGTACAGGGTTCGTAAAATTCCTCTCCTACATTTGTAAGCCAAAGTAACGCAAGTCATTCCGGTCGTGCCTTGATATTATACACTGTGGTAAAATCGTTTAACAGTACGTTTGACGGAAACATTTATCTATATGAACTGTAATTATAAAAAAAACAATTCAAAAATATTTTGAAAATATTCTACATTAGTTCAAATAATTATGACAGTCTCACATTCATGACATTCACATTATGACAGTCTCACCTTTCCCACATTCCAGAAATGAAGTTATGTCTTTTGACGTGCGTTTCATCGGCCAGGTTAGCATAATCAGCAAATGACTGGAACTGATTTCTCACAACTGAATTACAGTATTTTATATTTATATGAACATACCAGTTGCTTCTAAAACTGAGTTTGTTGAATGAATTTTTAATACTAATAATCGTGATAGCATGCTTTTCAATACCAATTCCCGATTATTTTAATGATTACTTGTTATGATACCCAATAAATGCCATCATATTGATGACGTGAAATATTAAACAAAAAGTTAATTGCTGCTTGACGTGTGTATTGCCGTTGTATTGCCAATTGCATAAGCAGGAAATTTTCTGTGAATATTCCTGCACTGACGCCTGTCAGATATAATCCAACACCGTTCGTGGTATTATCGTGGTATTATCCAGTGGAGTAGTTGTTTTCTGATAGGCGTCAGTCCATTCAACCTACTGTGAGGTATATCCCAAACAGGCTTGAACTTTTAAAGTTAATTTCTTTAGATTTGTTTAGTGCCTGTCTTCAAGCATAGCCCACTGACTAATAATGAAAAGAGTTATCTGCGCCGTTTGATTTTGCGAACGTACTTTCTATCGCGACTTCCACAGCTTTTTTGGTACATTTCAGACTTCTTCGTTATCATCGTCTTTGAGTGTACGAACAGTTTTGGAAGCTGATTCCATGTTAAATTTTTCGAAAATCCTGATCAATCAATTGGAATATTTTGGTTCATATGGAACGTAAACTTATCTTTCCCCATAAGCAAAAAAACATCGAAAGTCGGTTAGACTGGGTACAGTTGAAACAATGCAAATATCTCGTAAACGGTTAAGCGAGAAGTGAGGGGTGAGAGGGGAAAACGAAGCGGAAAGAAAGAAAAACAAACACTTAAGTTTTAAAGGCTGCACCTATATTGAATCCGTATTTCTCCCGACCCGATATGGGACGACCATCGGACGACATCGGAAGAAAAATAAACACTTAGGTTTTAAAGTAGGTGCCTTCATTGGAAAGGGTAGTCCGATACGACAATAAACGATCACTACCGNACTAGGAATAAACCATGTGAAAAGTTTATAATTCAATAATTGGCTCTATTAAAACAATTGAATCACTCATAGATTTTTGATAGCCACTTGAGAAAGTCATTTTCGTCATAGCCATCTATTTCGAATTTTGACCATGTTTATCAGTTTTGGTACCATGGTACCATTGGCACTATATTCAAACCAGTGTCGCATTTTTTTGAATTTACTTTGTCGAGCAATAATTTTTATTTCGCACAGTGATTCAAATTGTATGGTAGTTGTATTCAATTTGATAAGAACTCGTATTCCATACGTGTGAATATCTCATTTCCATTCATCATATAATTTGTGACCATTATTTCAAACTTTCAAATAGGTTATATATAGACAAATAAACATCTGGGACCTTTCGGTAGACCTAAAAAAAGAACAATATGTAGTGAATCTTTTTGCCAGCATTTTCGACGAAAGCTTGGACGAGTAGCACTGCCGCCTTGACTTGCTACATATAACTTATTCATATTGCAACAAATTCACACAAAATATTAATTATTTGTACATATAAATCTTCCCCTTGAAACCCTCCATCCATTGAAGAGAATCGTTTGAAAATCAGTTTAGTAGTTAGTAGAGGTGATAGCATCTCCAACTAGGAAGACGTTTGTTATTTTTAGTTCATTACAGTGGTTCAGTCTAGCACCGATGATGAGACAAGGTGGGTCGAAACAGCTATCTGATGTTGGATCACAAATCCATCGAGTTGCCTTACAATAAAAGCTACAGTAAAAGAAGATGACGAATCTAGTTAGGCAGTCGATGTCTAAGCTTGGTTTTGCAACGAACCGCCTTGGGGAGCCTCAATTCGGGAATTGAATCTTCTGTCGATTCCATAGATTGGGTCTTCGTAGGGGGAAAGACGATTGAAGGATTTCATAATGAAAATATAGTATATTCCTATGCATGACTTTCTTATGTAACTTTTTATTTATACATATCTATTTTTATTCAGAATGTTTGTATTTTTTCTTGTTGATATTATTTTATTTATAATGTGACAATGAGTTTACTATTGTAAATGAATTAGTTCCTCAACTAAATAAAGAGATATATAATGATTGAATGGTAAGCGTCAGTGACCTTTTACACTAGTAAAGAACGAAAAAATTTGATGAGACTACAGTAGTAAAAACTATGGAACAAATGAAAACAAATGAAAAATGAAAACATGTGTCGTCTTTATTGTCTTCTAATACATTTAAAGCAAATTAATCATGTACAGTTCATTTATTATATGAAGATAAAAGGCGAAGTTCAATTTACATGATGAAAAGTCATCATTCAATTGCATTGCATTCAATTGCGATATAAAATCGAGTCTGTGACAGGAAAACAAATGGAGTGTCGGTCACCCCACGAATTGGGGTGAATGATCATTGAGTTGGGGCTTCGTGAGATGGGGCACGATCATCGCAACTTAGGGATATAATAATAATAATAATTTCGCATTTATTGTTTCCAGTCATAATGCCAAATACTACAGAGTTATAGAGTAAGTAACAAAGAACAAAGTTCAATTCCCGTTATAGGAAATCACTAACTTTCACTCAACCCTGATATACCTATGTATTGTTTTTCGAAAATATTTCAATTCATTCTGCTCCCATAGATAATACATATTTAATTTGACATTAACGAGGCATACTTGTTTAAAAAATGAGGAAAAACAAGAGTTCACCTCTGAGATGCATTAATATGTTTTTGTAGGAGGCTTAAAATGCTTCAAATTTGAGTTTATTAATTTCTTGCGGAACTATGTTGTAGAGAAATGTTGATAAACCTGATTTTTCGGTGCAAATAGAGTTTCTTAGTAACCGTATGATTTTATGAAACAGCCCCATGGAATGAAATACGCTCCTATTATCCATATTAAGCCACCCAATTTCTTGGAGTTTATGTGTCTTCTTCTGTCACCAAATATTGATCGCATACAAAAATTCTGAACTTTCTGGATTTCTCTCCTTTATTTTAAAGTGAGATCAGACCCATATGTAGTAACTGCACAATTGAATATGGGCAATATTGAGGACTCACATAATGTTTTCCAAACATCGAAAGGGGGAAATTGTTTGTTGCCATAGATACATTCGATTGGGAAGTAGACACGTTGTGAAAGTGTATTCTCTGACCCCAGAAACGTAATTCAGTATCTACCAAAACACCTGAATTCCTTGCTTCATTAACTGAAATAAGAAGTTCATTATCGAATNATTTACGGTTGGTGGTCTTTGACGGCATCACGAGGATCATGTTTCCTTCGAAGTAGTCTAAACAAGCGTATCCTGTTGATACGTAATAAAACTGGGAACGCGAAAAAATGCAAACTAAGAGTTTGCATTTCAGCTCCGTGGACAGGAAGTTCGGCCATATCTGAATAGGTGGGTCCGAAAATTTATTTGAAATAAAAACTGACCAATAACTTCAATGAAAAGAAGATTTGTCTTGAGTAGGAAGGGTTATGGAAAAATTTGGGACAATCAGGGGACAGTAGTGTAATAATAGGAGCTTTCTAGTTCCTTAAATGCTCCTTTCTCATTCATTCATCTTCTGAAATGAATTTTAGCAGCACTGTCACCAGATGCAGATTTCTCCGCATCAAATTCAGAATGTTAAGGCAGGTCCGAAAAGAAAGCTGTAGGGTTCGTGCCGATCGCATGAAGGCCGGCCTTTTGGAAACCTAACTACACCGTGTACCTTTTTGAGATGGTTTTCCTTCTAGGTTCCACTCCAGAACGAGGCAGGAGACTAATACTTAAGGCTAAAGGCCTTTTAACTATCCTGAAATGGTGCGGGACTTACTCAAGTAGTGAGCCATTATAAACAACAAGAAGCTTTAGATTAGCCTTATATTACAAAAGAAATAACTGTGGAAAAAAAATATAACACGAAAATCCAACAAAACAATAAAAAAAAATCGAAAAGTACGATCAAAATTTAACAAGAAAGCCCGTCTTAAATAGCTGATTGTCAAACAAATATTATCTCTTTAACAACTTGTGAAATGTTATATTCCTCACATAAGGTAGAATTTCAACTTACATGAAAACAATTACTCTATTCGAGTTTTGCAGAAATTCTGAAGTTATTATTTGAAATTGCCTGGCTTCAAACCCGTGCGTACTAATCGCTATCACACATATGAAAGGGGTGTAGTGTAATTTGTTGCCCTTTTTATATTGTCCTTAAGACGCAACAACAATAAGACAAATATTTCAAAATTGAAATGGCAATTATTACAAAATTAAAATGGCATCCTCTCTCTCTTTATACCGACATGGGGTTTAGTAAAAAATCCAAATCGACTCACGATACTAGGCTGGGTTCTGATCTCCCTCTTTGGTCCGGTATCCGTCTAAAATACACAACCGTTGCTACCAAACGCAACAACAGAGTTAACTCACTACCCGCAAATTTACCAGAATTCCACTATCGAGTGAAAAAAAATCCTTTTTCGGAAAACACCTTTTATCGCGACCCTCTTCCGCAACTGACTTTCGCAACTCCCTTTCGCGACTCTCCCAAATTAACTATCGATCGCAAAGGAATCTTTTCGCAACTGACTTTTCAACTGACTTTCGTAAATTCTCTAAAGAAATTCACTTTCGCAACCTATTTCACGTAACTTTCTTTCGCAACTCCCCCAACTGACCGATCGCCACCGTGC